AAAGAAACTGAACATGGGCTTTTTAAGTGTTCCAAATTTGGTTCCTTGATTAATGTTCATTGTCAATATCCTCGGCGTCGTCACTGATCAATTTTGCTGGAGCAGACTCCACTTCAGGCTCATCCTGCAGATTTACCGCTATGGGTTACGTACAGTGGTGGGAGGGGGCGATTATTAGAGGGTGGCGATTAATCGAGGGACGGCTATTATTCGAGGAAATACGGTATTAATTAGAGTCACGCCCCTAGTGGCCTGAGTATACTAAGTTTGCATCCATGCTCCAGGATACCTGCGACTAAATGTGTGCAACGGACGATGGCTTTGTATCGGTACAAACTGTTTATAATATTCCCCTTTTCTTCATCATCGAGTTTAGTGAAGTAGTTATGTTCAAACCTTGGATACAATATGTGTGATCGAAAACCGAGATTTTTTTTCTTCAAATTCTTGCGACTCGCGTAACCTCCTTTCGGATTTTGACTCCGTACCTTACAGTAAAATTGAATAGACAGTATTATGCTTAGAGCTTCGCCTGTTTGATTTTTGCTTAATCGTAACGCTCTGCGCTTTTCATTACCGGCCCTTACCGACTCTGTTGCAAGGGAATTCCAGAAAACCAAGCGCATTGAGATTTTTCTTAATCTTATTTATGTAGCAAGTCTCAGATTTAGCTAGATTTAGTTCACAGTTTCTGTGTTCAGTTTCTATTTTCTGCGGCAGCCTTACATTTACTAGGTAAGATGGATAAGTAGATTAATTGCTCTGTGGTCTCAAGGCTTTAATATTCCCTCCTTGGATTTGTTTGTGATAAGAACCTTGACCATTTTTTTCGTCCACTGGCAAAGGAAGGTCCTTTTTTCTATAACGTCCACGTTCATATGTCTGAACATAATCGCCGTGGTCAATGAAGGTGCGATAGTACTGGACATATGTACGACATTAACTGGCTCGCCTGACTTAGCTGCTGGCTCAACTCCTTTGTAGGAACCTTTGCGCAACTCACAGCAAATCTTCTGGCTGGGTTGCATGAATTATGCTCGTGTGAGGAGTTTCTATCACTCCATAGACTCAAGATGTTTTTATAGACGCATTATTTCGGCTAGCCAGAGTTAATCTTTCCCTTAATTAAACATTCTTCTCTTTTATACTATTTCGGTTGCTTGAAACAAACGTTAGCTGGCCCCAGAAATTCTCATGCGACGCCGAAATGTTCCATTATCCTTTATTATTCTCTTTGCGAAGGTAAAAAAACTTTTCCTTAAATGAAAACGAATTTCCTTTTCATCCAATTTCTTTAGCATTGGAGCTTAACCTGCTTAAACTTAGTGCTTTGCGTCGTAAAAAATTAGTAAAAGTATTCTCCCCTCCACTCCAATTCACTTTTAAGAAGAAGGAGAAAAACGAAAAGCTTCAAAAAAGTGAATGTTGTATATTTGAGGACGTTGGTAAGTTAACGAAAATTAACGTATAGGTGACAAAGCCAAAAAATTTCTAGCTGGATTTTTGAAAATGTACCAAACGAAAATTACAACCGTTTGACTGAAAAAAAAAGGAAAAAAAAAACGGCCGCAAGTTTTTTTCCCTCCGATGAGCCCGAAAATCACACTTGACTAGGAAAAGAAAAAAAAAATGGAAACAGCAAGGAGAAAGAAAGGAAGAGGAGAAAAAAGCAGTGGCTGCACCGTTAGTTTTTATGTTGAGTTCTTTGAAGATGGTATTTGAACGAGGAAAAAACTGTTTGATGGAAGGGATCTATTTCGGCTGTAAAGTTATAGTACAAAAATCCAACCATAGATATATATTTTCACCCAGCAGCTAACAGAAATCTGATAACAAACGTTAAATTTTAAAAACTAATAATTAAAAAACGGCTTTCTTTTTCTTAGATTTAAAAAGCCTTCTGAATTTGTCCTAATTTTAAAGCTATCAGCGAAGTCTATTACTTTGTTGACCCCCTGTTACTTTGGTGTTCCTTGACTGGAGCATGGTCTTCCTGTGCAATAGCCAACTGTGTTTAATATTTATCTTTTTTGAAAAACAAATTCTTTTTTTATCAACAAAAACTAGGTAGTAGTTATTCTTTTTTCTTTAAGTTTTCTGTAAACGTAACAAAGAAATTTTGCGCAATTTTCATTTGTGTTAAGAGCTCAAAATGTTTAACGCTTAATGTTAACATGTTCCAATGAGCGGAATTTGACAGATTTTTAGTACTTGTATGTTGCTAGATAGTCCACCCTTGCTTAAATGGCGTTGAAAACAATTCTGATTTAATTAGTTTGATGTTGAGCCTCTAAAATGCCTAGACTGACTGAAATTGTAACTTTTTCATTTCATTTATTTTGTCGTGACTTACGAAAGTATTTTTTCAAGTCTGTGCACATTTTATTAAGTTTGTAATTTTTGACATGTACTAACTTTGCACTTACTTTTGTTTTAGTTTGCCGGTGATTTGTTAAGCCTGCGCACGTTTTATAAATTTTACGAACACTTGATTAAGTTTTCGCATATTTTATTAAGTTTGCATGCCCTTTATAGCGTTTGCATGCGTTCTGTTTAAAAGCTTACATGTATTCTTAAGTGTGCATGCTATTTATTAAGCTTGCATGTGTTCTGTTAAGTTTGCATACTTTCTCCGCCATAGTAAGTTTTCACACGTATTATTAAGTATGCATGCTATCAGGAGCCTGCCAGGACATTTAATTCCACAGCTGGACTGGACGGCCGCGAAGGGAAAAACCACTGCAGACTTCGGAATCACGCACATTTTTTCCATTTTCTTGTTTTTCGATAGCAGAGCAGGAAGCTGTCAGCCGGTCTTTGGCGTTATTATTACGAATAGAAGCTTAAGCTATGCAAAAGCGGCCCTTGTAAGCTTTAGCGGGAAGAACCACCGCCATCTTGGTTCTCGCAACATTGTTCGCAGTAGAGGGTGCGCTTTCCAAGACAAGGGAGTTACCTTAAGCGCCATCTTTATCACATTGCTTTCTAACTGTGATATTTCGTTGTAAATTCTGTTAAAACGGAGTTTTTAATGCTTTCTTCCTCCTTCCACAAATATGCCGTTTTGAAACTCGCCCTCAGACATCGGAGGAAATACATTTGGTGCCCACATTCTCGAGCTCTACCGCAAAAACGAGTACGATGACCCCCATTTTTTTATTTCATGATTTTAAACAGTGCTTTCGTTCAATAATAAAAAAAAAAATGGCATAAATCCATGTTCAGTTTTAAGGAAATTTTATTGAATTGTACGGATTGAGCTATAACGGGTCGAATAGCGCGTGTCCAAATCAATTCTACTTTGGAGAGCGAAGTTAAAACAAAGGCATTAAAAGGCTTTTTTCTGGTACTTAAGTGGATAAACAGTACATTTAAGTAAAGTTCAGCGTTGGTATTTGGGGAGAAAGGAACTTTAAATTTGTGCATCCCTTCCGAGACGCACTGCCCTTTCATCCACGCGAAAGTATTGAGCTCGAGCAACCACAACAAGGAGCTTAAGCGGATCATTTTACCGCTTAAGCAACATCCACGGCGACGGCTACGAAAACTGATGTCGCGCTGCCTCAAACTTTATCACGCTTATTCCATCTCGTTCGATTCGTCAAATGTTGGCAATTTGTTCTGGAGTTGAATTTAAAAGACTGTATCAAAGATCAGGAAAACAAAAAAAAAGTCGTTGGCTCTTGTTCATATCGTCCACAAAACGAGAAATTAGGCATTTTCACTTCGTAGTCTTGCAGTTACGGCAAATAAATGTTCAAGATGACTAATAAAACTCAAGACCTTTTAAGATTGTACGAACCATGGATTTAGATGAATCTACCGAATCCAAGCTGAGTATGGATTCAGAGTCTGTTTTACAGTGAGAACCGTTTCCAGATTTAGATTCCCTTAATAACGCGTAACTGTAGACTAACCAAGTTTACAGCAACGGAGTTACACATCCACTATGTCACTTAAGGTGATGTTACACGAGACGATTCGCAACGACTCTTTTTAGAGCAACAAAAGTTGAAATGTCGTAACCATGTTGCAGCCTTTCGAAACGATGTCGCAACAATATTGTAACGCTTCGTTACCCTAAAAATCGTCGTTGCGAATCGTCTCGTCTAACATCACCTTTAGGTTTGTCAGTTTCTGTGTTCGCTTAAAAATTGGTGCATGCGTCATCGTGCGTATATCGAGATATGAATCACAAGCGAAGTTTAGAGGGCAACATAGGGCAACCCTTACGCCTCTTGAGTGCTTTCCGAACTTCCCACGTGCCTCTAAACAGTGGAGTTATATAGCTGCAGAAAATGGAAACCTATCGATGTCAGAAAATTTGGTTATGACGTCAACGTACGCCCGTACAGACTCTGGGGGTACGGGTAACAAATTCTGAGTAGGGTAGTGAAGGGAGTCGCAGACATGTACGTTGTGTTTCGTTTTCGCGCAAACTTAGCCATTTTAGGGGCAACCACAAGTGCTGCTCGAGTAAAGATCTACATTGAAGTTTCTTGTGTTCAAATAACGACAAAATTTTCGGAAATAAATTTGTAACGCTTTGCTTTTTTGCTTGATCACGCTTTTTTGTCACACTCCAGGAACAGCCTAGCATAAGCAGGGTACAGGGAAAACAAATTTAAAATACAGACCACAATAGAGTAAAACGAACAATCAAACAAGCCAGAGAGCAGATTGACAACCCTTTATTTTAAAGTTCATTTGTTCCTTTTAAGTGCCAGAAAATCAACTTCGCGCAATTTTCGCAAATTTTCGTTACGTTTATAAAACAAGAGACAACATGTATTGTAACCATGGTAAAGTAACATGGCTAATATTTTCCGAGTTAATTTAATGAAGACTGCTTCGAATTTCTGAAGGTTGCAGTACTGTCCACTTTTGTCTTTATCTAATACATGACTTTAGAAGTAATGATATACCTCCGACATAAACCATTTAATCTTTCGATAATCATTCTAGAGTTAACACTGCTCAGGATCAAAACTTTTAAGCAATTACTCCTCCAACTGACCACTTATTATGAGCTTAAAAGAGAAAGGCTGGAACTTGTAGCCTGCTCCTTGGTAAAACTTGTTCTGGAACTCGACCCTTCAAAATGATAATTAAAAAGTGCAATGAGAAATCAAGAGTAAAAGTTAATACACACGGTTAACGGTTAACGGTTAATCAAGTAAATGAAGAAAAAAATGTCAGCAGATCCTTCCGCGTCGCAGAAACAAAGAAAAACAAAAAAAGGCACTTAGAGCAACAGCGTTGTGGAAGAAACGAAAACCCCAGAAATTTGCTGAAAAACCCTTCAGACTTAACGAGGTACCACCAAAGCTTTAACGCAGTTTTCCAATTGAGAATCGCGAGGGACGAGCAAACCCCCAATGTTTCGTAAACTACGACAATTGTTGCAATTTTCCCTTACCGAGTTCTTTACGAGCATAAATGGGTGATTGGTAACATAATGCTTTAGACTTGTTACAAGTCGACCTCACGAGACAAAAGAACTTTTTTGAAAGTCTACATAGTGCTTGGGTGCTTGCCGTTTACACACACCGAGAGTCAGGATCCTAGATGGTTCATGTTGGAGATACAGGGAAACGCTCGAGCGTGTGGACTTCCTGTTGCTCAAAAAACTTATCTACTAACTCAGCTATTTTGCTGAAATTAGTGACAGCTCTGCTATGCATTAAGTTTATTATTGGGAACTGTTGTAGCAACAACTTACCAGTGAAGACGGAGAGCGTGCAGGAAAGCTGACAATCCCTCCATAATCAGCAAGACAGCAACAGTCAACACTGCAAACAATTGAACTCAGTCAATAAAACATTACGCTATATCATCCTTTTTACTAAGGCACACTGTGATTTGCTATGTGTTGTTCAATACGAGATTGTCTCTTTTCAATAAAACATCACATCAAAGTTTCACACACACAAGACATAGCCCCGCGGAAGGTATTACAATAAACAGAAGCTACAACCCGGCAAATGCCTTACAGGATAAAATAAAATACAAAAAAACAAAAACAAAAACGACCTTTGATTCCTTAATCAAGCTGGAAGGTGAGTGGGCAGAAGGCGGCCAGTGGCGAAGATATATAATTATATTGAAAGATATTATTTGTCACGGATTGTGTTGGATTATACATACTACAGTGAATAATATCATTTGACAAACTTTCAACGAACCCTGTGATACAGTAAAGAGAAACTTTGAAAAAGCTGGAAAGACTGCAATCCGCTTTAACCTTCTTCAATTTCTTCCATCCCTGCCTTTTTTGTACTTACTGTGTTATCAAAAATGTTCCTACACTATTTGAGGCGGTAATTTTGATATTTCCACTTCCTAGTAGTCTGGGTGAAATGGTTCCGTCCAAAAAAAAGCAGGTCAACCCCTTAAGACTCAAGAGTGATAAACAGCCATTTAATATCAAAAGAATAGGTTGCGAGGATTCATAAAAAAATCACTTAAGGAAAAATGCTTTGATCTTTTATCGAATTCTCTCGACTTATTCCTTATAGAAATGTATAGGCGAATCCTTGCTGACGTCATTGTTTACATTTTTCCTCATTAGCATACGACTTAACTCATAGAAGCCGTGGCCGTATACAGCTATTTCGAGAAAGGTTGTCGGAAAAAGTGCACGCGACAATCCCGAAAGGTATTGTGGGTGGTTTTAAGTTCACTGTTCTTTAAAGAAATTTGAAAGAATTGGTACGAAAGGCCGTGGAAATGTGTTTGCGAGTGCTAAAGGAAAGCAACAAAGGTAGGTTCGACAGGTACAGTCGTCGGAAACAGTGTATTGATCATATCCCATATTACCTTTCGGGATTGTCGCGTGCACATTTTTCCGACAACCTTTCTCGAAATAGCTGTATACGAACTAAATGCAAAAGTTGAAAGAGCTGATTAAGTTAAGCAATTTGTGCAATTTTCAGCTCTATACAAGCAATATTGAAGGAAATATTAGCCATCAAAAACTGCAAAATTGCTGTGTGGCAAAAAAGTTAACGAGCCATACATTCTCAGTAAAATTTCGTGTTTTTAGAGGAGGATTTCTCCGAAACCACTCCATGAATTGGGCTCAAATTTTCAGAGATAACTGAAACTGTTATCCCCTTTCAATATTCAAAGTGTTCATTTCATTAGTGTCATCAGGATAGTGATAAGAATATGTTAATGAGGCAAAAAGTGTAAACAAAGATTCGCCTATAGAGTACAGTGTGGAGAATTTGTAAGGGTTAGGAGAATAACCTGACCTGCCCAGGCCTGAAACAATGCATACGCTGCCACAACTCCAACGCCTCCCTCCATGCTCAGAGCCAAACGAAGAACCATGCTCCATAACACTTCTGACAACTCTGTGATGGAAAGTAAACTAATAATTAATGTTTACCGTAATTCCCCCTTCTTCCCCCGCTTCCCACTCTGTTAGAGCAGGTCCCACCCCCGGCCTTTCCTCTCCCGCCCACTATTCCCCCGGGCTGCCCCTTAGGCAATTTCGCATAATTTTTGTTTTCATGTGTTTAAGATATTTTCGATTGTTTTATATTACCTGTTTTACATTACCTGAAATCGAAAGTGAACAAAACAAACCCTCTCACTTTGCTTCCTAATTACGCATGCCCATCACCTGTGCGCACGCCAAGATTACGTGACATGTCTAAGGTGACGAAAACAAAACATTTTTTGCTGACAACTTTTGGGTATTTATCTCAGCTTACGTTTACCATTCCATTTTTTCTTTTTAAGCTTATTGGCGCGGAAGAGTACTTGAAGTACTTGAAACCTCGTTATAAAGATATTAATACGCACAGTAAAGGGATAAAGCAGTTGTAGAATAGCTATGTTCGGCCACGTTAGGGATGTGAAGTCAGTACTCTTACCTGCATGAGCAAGACTAAGCGCCCAAAGTCGCAGGTAAGATGCAGTGTTTGAGATACAACCAAGGCAGTACTCTATAGTGTGGATAACCTGATGTACAATGATCTCGCCAAAGTCAAACTGAGAAAGAAAAAAAAAAGACCGGATAAAAAGTGTGAGAAAAAAAAGGGAAACAGTTTCCAAGTAAAGCTCATCTGATCACAAACAAGTTTTTATTGAGAAAGATAGTCTTTGCAGACACAAGTGAGATACGATACTTATCAAGGTGTTAAATACTTCTACAGTACATTATAGCCTGTTCCAGGCAATCACTTAGTCGAGAGCTATGTAAGAGGGAGAGAGGCCTTTTCGTGTCGTTTTGATTTTTTCTGTTAACTTCTCAATGCATTATGCATTATACCTTTGTCTTGTATCAATGAAAAGCCATGCTGGGGAGTGTTCAATAATCTCCTTACTTCTCACTTCTATTGTAGCTTCTATCGTAACTTCTTTTGTCCTATTCAGACTTAAGCTTGGAAATTAAACAGCGCGTTGAAGTTCATTTTAATCCTGTGTACAAAGTAGCCTGTGTTCCAGTTTTCTATTACTGCTTTTCATTTTTGACAGGCTGATTTAATTAAACATGTTTAATTGGTGTGAATTGGGGAGTACCTTTTTGATACTTTTGTGTTATCACGTTTCAAGATAAATATTTTGATATTCTCACGATATTCAGCTACTTCAGCGCGCTGGTCGTCAGCTGGCTGATTGTTAGACTTGCTACAAGTCGACCTCTTGGCGAGCGGAGCGAGCCTTGTTTGGCCGCGAAGCGGCCGACCGCAAGCGACGAAGTCGCCCCGCGCCGACGAAGGACTTTTTTAAAAGTCTAGCTGATTGTATTAGATGGGTACAGTCTTTACTGAGGGAACTTTGCTATACCTCCTCATGGATATCATCCCCATGTTCTGCCACTGACTGGCCTTCATGATGAACCACTTCACCACCATCAAGCGCTGAATCGCCCAAATTCACTGCCACAGGGGGAGGGCTGGGGGAGCTTGATCTTAGCCTCTGAAAACCCTGGTAATAAGAATTCAACTCAGTCTCTACTAACGCTTAATAAACAAATTACATCAAACGACAACTTCATATTCGCCACTTTGAAGTTGCACTGGTCGAGATGGTTGTCAAAGTGCATTGTGGGACTGTTTTGGGGGTCAAATTTACCGCCATATTGAAAACTCGTCCCCCAAAACAGTCCCACAATGCACTTGACAACCATCTTGACCCAGTCTTCCGCACAACCTCAAAGTGGCCAATATACATGCTCTATTACAGCCATTATTTCTGTTACTGAATTTTTTTTAACCCTTAGATACCCAACTTCATACAGTGGCTACAGGAACCATTGTAAAACAGACACTTGGTTCTTGTCCCTTGGAGTTCTGTTAAGAACATTTGACCATTTCATGATAAAATGACCCTTAGAGGATTTTCACAACCAAAAGTACAAAACACATCTGTATGCACTGGTATTCAGTGATTTTGTTAAAGTTGAGTCCTGGGACTCATCAAGTGAAAAATGAGTCCCTGTCCAGAACAAATGAGTCCCAGTTAACGAGTCCGAGATTGAAAATACTTTGGGCCTTTACGTAACCAGACAGTTAGTCTGAAGGCAGACTCCAAAACTCTGTAACTCTGTGTAGGATAGGGTTAAGTGTTTAACATGAACATTACTTTCATTTTCATTGCTGCATTTCTTTTTTTTAAGCTACTTTATGAAATCCAGGGTGCCAGTATGGAAGTTTTGTTTCAAAACTATCATATTTCTCTATTACCGAAAGGAAAGAGGAAGCACCAAATGGTTAACAGGCACATTCCAGACTTCAACTTCAGGTTCTAAGTGTAAGTCCAATCAAACCTTACTGACTAGAGGTTATCATTGATTATGGATCCGCGTTATAGTAACTTACGGAAAATTACGGAAACGAAATTGAGTCGAAAAGAGTCCAGTTCCCCAGCCGAGGTGCCCCTGATAAAATTAATAAGGCCGGCTAATTTGAAGTTGCCAATGAAAGCTCGAACATTTCCGCCTTAGTGTCACAGGAACACCAGATTAGGATCTTAACATAAAACGACGAAAAAAGAAGAACAAGGGGGACCAAAATCTACCAATTCAAAACCTGCAGACACGAACCTTTGAACCAACCATATATGGCTGAAGAAAACTCTTTTCTTAAGAGGTATGCAAAGACCGTTGAGAACAGCGAAACATGAGATCAATAGTATTCAACTTTGGTATACAAAAGTAGCTATTAAAATGGATGTAAAACTTCTGCACGACAATTAGCTTTTGAGTTGCGATCTTAAAAAATTACTTTTTTCATGATATGTTTCTCTTATTTCGAAGGCCACTACTCAAACCTAATGCAAAGTGTCTTTTGATTTAATAAGTATCTTACTTCATCCTTCTTAGCCTTGTGCTGGCGACGTAGGTAGATTGGTTTCACCAGGAGCATCCAGGGTACACACAGAACTGCTACAACTACCAACAGCGGCTGAATAATATCCTACAGAAGAGGCCGGTACTACTTATCAGTACGTATTTGATCTTCACAAACCCTTTTGTCAAGAATCCTTTACCACACAATATTAGAATCCAACAATTAACTTTAGAATGTTGAGGCCCCCAGCAAAACACCATTTCAACTGCTACTAAATGCAATCTTTTTAATTCATATTCTACTTAATCTACTTAGTAAGTAAACACTTAGTCAACCGCCTTCAAACTTGACCTCAAATTTTGAATGTTTGGCCCCCAAACAGGTCACATTTGCATCAACAGCATACTCCCTTGGTACTGTACTACTGAATGCACTGAGAATGTTTGACATCCACTGACAATTGGTTGACATTGTATTAGCCATTTGCTCTGTTGGCTGGCAAACGGAGTTTCAAACATCTCATGGGGTTGAATGTAGGCGGTTCTCCCCTTGCCCTCTCTCCCTCGTTTTCTTGCTTAATCTTCGTTCACCTTTCGTGCGGCTGTATCCCTTATGTTACTTAACACAAACCAATCACCACAAAAACTGCCTGGTATGCAGGCTAGTCTATCTGGAACAGCAACAACAGCAACAACAATATACAGGCTGCTTAGTGCAATATGCTTACATGGTACGCTAATAACAAGCGAATTGCAAAAGGTTTGAACCCAAGAGTCATTTCAAAAGTAGGTTGAGTTTGATCGTCCGGGTGAACGTAGTCCTAAATAGGACTGTTGTTGTTGACAGTGACTGACGTTTCGACAACCTGTGAGGTAGTCATCTTCAGAGTCAAAGTGAGTTGTATCACGTCAGTTGATGGTATTATACTCTGGTTATTGATCTCATTGATCAATTACGTCGCGATGTTATTGGTCGTCTGTCAGTTAAGCCGTGACGTTATTGGCTATGAAGACTCGTAATCAATCGTTCTCTTGTAGCTATTTTTGCTTGAGAGCAAATTGTACTGCACAAGGTTTTCTTTTTCCTTGTTTCGCTTAGCATTTTACCTGGTACGTGTTGCAATTTTAAATCTAGGAAAATAGAACTTGTGTCTCTTGCTTACCTGTCCTTTATAAATTAAGTCGCTCGCTTGAATGGTTCCGCCAAACTGGAGAAACATGTTGATCAGAGCTAACAACAAGCTTGGTTGCTTAAAGAAAATGGAAAGCAAAAAGTCAGGGAATTCGCCAAAAGTCGAAACTGGCCAGCTGGACAGGCCAACGTGAAAAAGAAATAATTTAATAGTCTTTTCTTAAAAGTCGTTAACATACTTTTTTTTATTTTTTTTATAAAAATTGTTTGAACCTCGGTATAATTCAAATTAGACAGACTGCAAATTATAGTAGTTGCTAAAAAATATATCTACGAGTCCCAACTGTTCTTCAGTAGGATACCTAAAATGCGTGCAATTCCACAATATTATTGGTTTCGGCTCCATTAAATCCTATACCAATTGCAGAACAATTTAGGAGGAGCCACCCACCGTGTGAGCACAGTCGCGGACAACACATATAAGTGAAGAAAATAACGCAAAGCAAAACTAAGACGTAGGGCCAAGGGACTGGTGAAATTTGTTTGCTATTAGGAGTCATTATATGGAGGTTCTTTTTCAAATATTTTACTATTAGGGTAAAGGAAATCATTCGTTGTAATGCAGACTTCATTATACTGAGGTTCTTTATATCAAGGTTCCACTGTAGATTAATCTGGCTCAGTGGATAGTCCTGATAAAATAACATTAATGAAATTCTCTGTCAACTGGATTGGTCGGGCTGGCCAGTTGTAAGCAGCCTAAGTTTAACGCAAAATGATCATTAGGCAAGTTTCGTATTCTCTGACGGACCTGGAACGAGCATGATTGCGAGGCTAATGCGGGTCAACTTCTTGGAAAAAACAAAAACAAACATAGGCAAATTGCGGCTGAGTCGTTGGAAAACGATACAAATCATGAAACTAATAAGACTTCAAAGCTCAAACTTTAACAGTCCGCTGAAGCGATATCTGTTTCAAACAGCGAAACTATGGCAAGAGCTGGTCGAACTAACAGAGACATGAAAAAAGCCACGACTGAAGCCAAAAGAAGAAGTAAACTTCAGCTTGAAAATGGTAAATTAAGCTTATGTTTAAAAGTCAATATTCGATTCCCTTCTATTTTCAAACTTCTTATTATCCTGTTTTACTCGTGTGTATATCTGTAAAATGGAATAGCATCACCATCTGTATAATAAGTCTGTATTCAACTTCTCATCGAGTGAAATGTGCATACGTCGATCGTTTTTCTACATGTGGCTGAATGTTTTTATAAACGACGTAAGCTAAATGTACAAATAAACTTATATCGCCTTTGTCCATTCCGATTTCACTTCCTCACAGTGAAAGGAATCTATGCAGAACTTCAGCCCCGTCAAGATAGATATTTTTCCACCAAGCGTACTTGTTCGGTTTATTTCAAATACACAAGATATTTCATCCCTTCCGTTAGAAAATGTCAACTGAAAAGTAGTTGTTTTACTAAATTGCATTTTTTCGATAACTTCCACATTTCAATGAAGGCTTCCTTAAAGAAGTTATAACGATCATTGAAAATGGACATTAAAATGGCTTCAGGGTTTTACCATCCTTTTTTGAGACCATCTTCGCATTTTTATTGAACTCACTCACCAACCACTTTTCGCATAATTTCTGGTTTCGCTCGTTGTTTTTCTCGGTGACGAAGAGCTGATCTTCCTTCCCAATGATTTCTTAAGCCTATAAGTAAGTTTGGAGCCCATTGAAACATTAAACCTTTAAGATTTCCTCATTTTCCGGTAACTCAGCTGCAGTTTTCTCATGTTTGTTGGTCTTCTTGCCAAGAAGTCACCCGCATTAGCCTCGCTTTCGCGCGAAAACAAGCACTCGCCCTAGGTCGCCTGGGAATACGAAATTTGCATATTGTGCCAACATACAAGTCGAGGGATCTGTAGCCAGGCTTCCTCCTCAATCAACCCCCCCTCCTTCCTCTGGAAAGTACTAAAATGGAAGCTTAAAAATGCCATTTATTTTCAAGCATTCTGGGCATCAAATACACTGTAGAACGTTGCTCATGACCACTGAAGAAAAGAGTACATATATAGACTTGAAAGTTCTTGCTTTCATAAAATCTTACAACCAACTCTCCAAAGACGTAATATAATGAAGAGGTGCTTGGTAAAGAAAATCATGAGAGACAAATAATAAAACTATTATTTAAGACTGTCATTGAGCCTTACTTGTGGGCTGTGCACATTAATAGCAATCCACTTGTAGAATATCAAAATCACCAGGTAGCCAAAAATACAAAACAGAAACAGAACCTACAAAACAAAGACAGTACAAATAAAATATTATTGCATCAGTGCAGTTCCACGCAAACAACACGTAGTCCAACACAGCAGTGTAATATCAACATGCATGACAGTTCTTGGGCCATCTTGTTATACTAATTCTATTGAGAATACCAAAACAAATATGGTAAATTGCACACTGTAAACTTGGCAGTGAACAAGAAAGGTCAAACAGACACCAACTATCAAGGTGGTTTTTCACCAATATCAAGAGTACATCAGATTTATAGAGAGGTAAACTTGTTTATTAGCTTATCATTTAAATGTTAATTAACACTCATGGTGTGGAAATTGCCTCCTGAGACAACAATATCATGAAAACGTACGTTTTAAACATCTATGACACTTATAATAAAATGTTTTGCTTAGTTCTACTATGTATAATAATTAGGAAATGTGGCCATACACTCTTCAATTTACCTGGGGAATAAACTCTGCAAAAATGTTCAGAGGTTTTTTGAAGTGCCTGAAACAAGAAATGACAAAGTAAAAATAAATAAAATAAATAAATAAAATTCAGGTAACATATTTGTACTGCAGGCTTTGGTCCAGCAGTGAGCCCACATAGAGATTAAAATGGATACTATACAAGAATTTTCACGTGTCAAGTTGCCTGGAAAAGTTGGGCAGTTTCTTTGCATTCATTACGCTGGTAAAAAACAAACAAACAAAGAGTCTTCCTAAAACTTCTGTTCCCAGAGCCAATTATGGAGATGTGACGTAGTTTGAACTTTTGCACCTGTAGATGAAATCTTATGGTTTTATCATTAAAATAAAACTTTCACATGGTTCTAATCATTTAGCATGTTGCTCTTACTTTTGAACCTGTGGATGAAATCCTATGGCAAATGAAACTTCTTCAACAGCACTTCCCCCCCCCCCCCCCCCCCTCCCCCCAACCAATATGTGAAAAAAAAAGGTAGGGCAGTCTGTGGTTGTTACTATCCCCTGTTTTAAAAAAAACAAAAAACACAAAAAAAAAAAAAAACACACAACCACAACAACAAACAAACCAACTATACTAAAAAATTTAGATGAAATATTTTGTTTTTTTTATTAAAAAAAAACTTTCCCATTGTTCTAATCATTTACCATGTTGTCCTTTCTTTTGAACCTGTGGAAGAAACCCCATGGCAAATAAAAATTCTTCAACAGCCCCTCCCCCCCCCCCCTCTCTTTCATAGAACAGAATTGGGGAAAAGCAGGGTATGGCCATTCTGTGGTTAATACTCACCTGTGATTAAAGAAACTCAGACAGACACCAAACATCATATGCACCACACCCAACACAACAGACATCTTCATTTTAAAGGAGTTGGTAAATGTAAGTTTGTTTGTGGCTATCTGCCAGATCTGCGAAACAAATACTGGTTAGTCCATTAAAAAAAAGAGTACATAAATAACAATAATACTATTAATTAACACACTTTTCTAGCCTGCGAAAACATCTGTTTGAACTCCTTGCTCTTCGCCGCTGGGGACGTCTCGCGCGGAGGAATGTCTGCGACTCAGCGACAGAAAATCCATACTGATGACTTAAAATCTATCCGGAATCTGATCAGAAGCGCTGATTGGTCGACGGAGTAGTTACATTGTTTTAGCTATTGTTTACGAATGACAGTCTTGACAGACAAAAGACAAAAGGCCACAGAGGTCAAATGTAAATGTGAAGAATCTCTAACCAAACCATCAATATTTGTAGAATATAGTCTTCTCGAGAAGAAGTATTTGAGTTTTGCTTGAGCTCTTTGGCAGATGAACACAACACTTTACCAAAATCGACCAGAAGACACATAAAATTGGACAACTTTATATTTGGAACCCCATGACTACCGGATTTATTATGTAAACATTGATTTGCATCATCAGTATGGAATTGCTGCGCTGAGTTCCAGATGTTCCTCCGTGCGAAACGTGCCCAGCTACGACGAACAAGGAGAAACAAATGTTTTCTCAGGCTAACACTTTTCTGACAACAACAACAGATAGTGATAAGCAACGGCATATTTATAGCAATTTAATTCAAATTAATGCAGACTGTGTACGTTTAGTGCCTTAAGCACAGAAAGAAAACAGACATGTACTTACTGGATCTATCCCGAAGTAGTATGGAATTCCAACATATGTTTGCTTAGGGTCAAGCATAATAGTCTCGCTTTCTGCATAAGAATCGAGTGCACTTGCACTAACACAACACAAAAAACAATGTCAAAAAATTGAGAAAGTGAAGACGTAATTTTAGAATTAAATCTTAAATGGTAATTCTTCATTTGCTACCTGGCTTTTTTTAAAGATCTTTTTTTGGCAAGAGGGACTGGCATTTAGTGTCTAGAGAGATGTCTGACGAATAGAGTGTAAAAAAAGGACTTTTACAGACGGAATCCATCAGGAAATGGAGTAAAAATTTTCATTTTTTAGTGGACAAAAACCTTGTACCAGAATAATTTACATAATATCGCATTCTTTTTTACATTTTTTAAGGCTAAAGATATAATTAATTATTTGTAATAACGCCAAAGAAAATGAATGTAAAATTTCACAAAATTACATCTTACACATGAAATTGTCAGAATTTTACCTCTTTTTTCACAATTATTGTGAAATTTGACATTCATTTTCTCGGACTCCCAATGGGAAATTTTCTTTGGTCTTATTACAGATGACTAATTACATCTTTGGCCCTTGAAAAAAGAATGCAGTATTGTTAAATTATTCTGGTACAAGGTTTTCGTCTACTGAAAATTAAAATTACCCAATTTCCTGATGGATTCCGTCTTAACCCTTTAAGGTCCAATATCCACATATAAGTTCTTCAGACTGCTTTCCATACATTTCGTAAAAGAATACCCCTGCTAGTATCATAGAGTGTTAATTACTTCTTTGACCACAACCACACCTGTGGTTTATAAAATATATCAGCATTACATTCAAAATGGAATCCAGGCATTTGCTAAATTTAAGCGTCCAGAATGCACTAGATAGCATCTCAGAGAATTTCAATCTCAAAAACTTTCCCAGAGGATCATGTGCCCGAAACTCGTGTGCCGTTCACAATTCAGATGGGCCATATTGCCACTGTACACTATATCTCTAGGCCCCCTCAGTAGTTTCAATAAAGATACAAGTAGCCAGTGGGTTTGAATAGAGTTACCGACTGTATTAACAAGTCTCCTTTTTCTACAGGGGTCAGGAGGCATGAACCCTCAAAAAATTTTGAAATTACAAAGCCCAAAAATGCGATTTCCAGCACTCTGGGGAATAAATTGAGGACAAAAGAGCGTGGTTCTTTTTTCATTCAAGAAAATGTAGCTAATCCATTCAACTTTCAATCTATCAGCCACAGAACAAATGATGAAATCTAAATTACGCACTTTTGCACATAAACAAATTCTGTGCAAACCTATAAAGAAACTTGGGAAAAACTGACTGAAATATAGCATTCACAGGACTAAAGTATACACCAGGGGGCCTTTATGGAAACACATAATTGCATTTTCATTCAGATTATATGATGCATTTTTGGTTACGATGTTATTCAAAGTAGACTAGTTGCTTCTTTCTTCTAGAAAAAAGTAGCCAACTACTCTGGGCAAAGTAGCCGGTGCATTTTGTCAGCCGTCAGTGCTTACTGAAACCCCTGCCCCCTTTATCACAAAATCCTCCGTCCTCCCCTGTCTATTTAGCAATTTTGATGTGTGCATATTTTGGGACACTTAATTTTTGAGTAAAACAATAATTGTTTACATTTCATAGACAATATTGGTTATTTAACATGTCTTTGAATTAAGAAAAAAAAAAAAAAAAATTTTATCAAAGGAACAATAAAGTCAAAATTCAGAAAAACTCCACAGCAGGACTAAATGTCAACAGTAACAACAAAGCAGTTCTCACAATGTCCACAAGCAGTTCATGCTTGTACATGAATAATGTTATTGTTCTTGTGTCAATTGACCACAACATCCATTTACACTGAAAATTCCTCAGAAAAGTAAAAAAAAATGTGATTTTGTAAACGTTTCAGTGGTAATAAACTCGCTCTTTCTTGATTGTGGACATAATGTGAGTCACTTAATTTTCGCGACACTCATTGTTCACGTCACTTAGATTTTGCAATTTTTTTGTATTGCGAAATTCATGAAATTAATGTGTCAGGACTATTTCATGTAATAAGGTATTTACAAAGCTTACCTAATTGCTGGCCACGTTACATCGAGATCCCACGAAGATCCAAAGATGTTGAAGGACTTGGAGAAGCAGTCATTATAAATAAGACCAGTATAGACAGCAAATAAACCCATCAACAAAATAATGTATCGACCTTCAAACATGGTTTCAAAGATCTGCCAAGACAAATAATGATATTAAGATATTAGTTTCCTGTGGCACAAAAACTAAAGGTTGTGAGTCTTCATTGGCAGGTACATGCAAACCATGTCAGAGTAGAAAAACTACATAAATAAATAAGTAAATAAATAAAAGTTATAGTAAAGATTATGAAGTTTTGAATATTACATGAAAATCATATTATGTGAACTGCGGATTGAAGAATTAAATGAAGGATGATCATCGCAGTTATATACGCATCATCATCCTTTCCTGGGTTTATAACGAACCAATTCAACTGCCTGCTCCCAGTTGGCTTGTTAGCTTAATTGGTAGAGCGCTGCACCAGTATTGCGCAGAGGTCAAGAGTTCGAATCCCGTACAAGCCTGAATTTTTTTCAGGCTTTCTTTTCGCAACTGCAAAAGTTGTGTACATAACTGCCATGATCATCCTGGTAACTTGAAAGCAAAGCTTACAGGAATATAAAAAATGCGGTATGTATCATGATAGTATATCTACCGGTATTTTTAGTAATACTGGACACTGTTATCATTATCCAGCTCAATAATTGATTTCCACATGTGCCTAATTTAATTCGAAAGGTAACTACTTTGACATGGGATGTCTAAATCAACTGAATTTGACAGTTGCAAATTAAATATGACTTTGTCAAATCTGTGACTGAAGCATTCGCAAATTCAACTTAGGTTAAACATTTGATTTATAAGTTGCATTTCACATGTGCCACATATAATGTACTTATTATAGAAACCCTTACCCATAATGGATAAAATTTTTTTCTAGAGACTGGGAATATTTACAACACACTGAGTTACCATCATATCGGATGTCTGAATCAACTGCCATATTTAATTACTGTCATTGACTTAAATAGGTGTTCGGCACACATAAGAAATTCCACGTTTGAAAGGGGCCTAACATGAATAAAGTTTCAGCTTAGTAGTTTGCAGGCTGCTATTAAGTTGTTGTTTTCTTTTCAGTAACAGCAATTCGTATCTCTCTTTGTAAATGCATTTTATTCATCGGCTTGTGCCATGACTTAAGAATCAGCTGTAATAGTTGATTTTACTTTCTCTTTGACATGATTTGTATCTCACTGGACATGATTTGCATATCAAAAGGAGCAATCAATTTTCATCCATCCATTTCAACAAAAGGAAATGGAATCACTTCTCACTTTAGTGGACAACCACGAACCCTGACTTTATCGAATAAATATGCGGCACCGAAGAAAGACGAAAAAGCTAACCTTTTTGATCAAATTATTTTAAGGTTTAAATTTGAAGCTCTATATAGTATAAAATAGTTACAATTTACTTTTACCGGTATTACTTTTAATAATAATAATGATGATAATAACAATAATAATAATAATAATAATAATAATAATAATAATAATAATAAAAAATTAAAATAATAAAAAAAAACCACTCTGGCTTTCAATAATTTGGGACCTTAAATTCCCCCAGAATCAATAAATTAATGCCTTCCATTCAAAAACCAGTCATTTTGGCTAGAATCCTCATGGACAAGGGATTTTCTTTGTAATGATTTTCATGAGTTTACTCGACACAATTTGTTCACAGCTTCACAAATCAATGTTAGTTACTTTCATCAACAGCAATAAACTTGCCTCTCCTCCATTGAAATTTTTCAGTTTCTTCTCATTAAACACCATCCACAAAGCAAACAGGAACATGATCAAGCCATGGCCACAGTCCCCAAACATGACAGCAAAAAGAAACGGAAATGTGATGATGGTAAACAGAGCTGTTTGTCGGAAGAAAGTAAAAAAAACAAAACAAAAAAAGATTAAATTTATTTGGACAATTGAATGAAAAGCTACTTACATAGACATTCTAAAAGTCCTCTATATTTTTCCTGGTTGGTTATGCTATTTCAAAGGACTTTTCATACCTGTTTGGTGCGAAATTCACCAGTTGAAATTCTACATGTGACATCGTGACAACTGATCAATAGCACAGTGACTAATAAATCTTTCATGCCGCTCCAGACACAGCATATGTCAATCATTTTTTTCCCCACGTGCATTTATAATATGAATCAAATCCATTCAGGTAAAACAAGCCGACTCGAGACTTGGTCGCTAGCTCCAACCCGGCAAGACCACGTGCACTGAAGCTTGCTTCACTCACTTTTAACAACTTATGAGAGGTCGACTTGTAGCAAGTCTACTACTTACAGTGTAAATTAAGAATTTGGAAATAGCTGTACACACTTTGAGTATCACTGGTCTATGTTTAAAAACCAATATCTGCTAATCTTCTCTACCTGGGTTAACCTCTTGGTAATTAGCCACGCCATAAGCATCTACGATGACTTGAAACCCCTCTGTAAACTTGTTGGTCCTGTTAAAAGTTGGAGGTTCCTGCTTAGTAGCCATGCGATTCAGGATAGATGGTATGGCAGCACCACTGCGCTCTGTGCCACGACGTAACGCTTGCTGAATCCTGTCCAAGTCACTCACAGGACACCAACACTCGGCAATGAGACACTTCTGAGTCACATCCAGATTGAACATGTTCATAGTGTGGTAAATGGCCTTGATCTTCTTTACCTAGAAATGACAATATTAAATCAAACACTGAATTCTCCAGCCTTCTTATTTATACATTAATTCAATACAGTATACAGTAAAACTTCTGGGCTGCAAGCCTTTTCAGCATATTCACTTTAGTTTTCCGACCACACAATACAGACTGTGACACAAAGACCAATGTATTCAAAACAATGTCAGCCAGGGACTGAGTGGCTGTCATGTTGCTCCCCAAAAATGTGTTCCTACAGTCGAACCCCTATTACACCGTAAGTCGCTTCCGCTTCATAGAGGTTGGCCACTTAATAAGGTTCGTCAGGAATAGGTCTGAAACTTACTTGAAACATTATTCAAATGCAAGCATACTTTAAGACTTTTAACATCTGTTGCACATAATGAAACTTTTAAAAATTGTACAAAACCAATTTTAAGGAAATCCTGTGACAAGGTCTCAACATGAACACCGCATTTACATTTTGAGTATTTTTACAGTCGGTTTAATTGGTTAGTAAACATGTAACCATGTAATGAGAACAATAAACGTGTGTTTAAGTGTATTTATCAGTCATCACTTTCTAATTCAGCTTCTTATCTGCCATTGCCTTATCAAAAACAAAGCCAAACCGACGCTTACTTAATTCCGGGTGGCAGCTTAATAGGAGTCAAAAACGATGAAAAACCTTCATCGGAATGATCAAAAGGTAGCCACGGTCGCTTAAAAGGGGTGGCTTCTTAATAGGGGTTTTATTTGTATTTTTTAAGTGAAAATATTTTCGGTATTGTTATAGCTAGCCACTTACAAGGGGTTGCTGCTTAATAGGTGGCCGCTTAATTCCACTGTAGTTACACTTAATAAACAAAATCAAAACTCTACCAAAGCAGACTGTTTTAGTGACCCTTTGGTAAAAAGCCAGTCTTTCTTTCCTCAAGGGGAGTTGCTTAAGACAGTTTTGAGCAAAGAAGCGTGACGTTGTCTAATACTGAATAACATTGTAATTACCTTGATAAACCATTGATTAATGTTCTTAGCCACAGTCAACAACAGGCGATGACGGTGATCACGAGTTTCATTGAGCACCTACCAAGAAAAAAGACTAGTAAAATAACGTGAAACAATGGAATTGATGTAAAATGTTGCAGATAAGAGGAATACAATACACCTCCCTGATACATGATAAACGTATCTGCACTAAGCTTGGACACAATATAGAAGGGTACCTTCCATCCCTTATAAAGGTATGTACATTAGAGAGGTTAAGCATCACGTTTACATCAAATGGCAAATGCAAAATTTGTACCATGTGACCAAGTTTCCCCTTTACTTGTTATTTACTATTCATTATTTCGACACATAAAAATTAGTAGCTTCACGCATTTTGTTTTGTCCAAAAGAATATTGTTTTGAGCTGCTTTTATCTGCTCATTTTCTTTTATGAGAAATTCTCAACTTGACTTTGCCGTAATTTGCAATGACAAAGCCCCTTTACTAACATGCATTTCAGTCAACAAATACACAAAAAGAGAGGGATAAGAGAGACAAAGCCAACTGGCGAGGTTGCCATCCAAACAGGGCTGCTCCAGTATATTCTAACAAGACCCTTGTGAAGGTCTGTCCTTCCACACAGTAAGCCTGCCATCAAACACTTAACACATTCGCCCCTGAGCCGCCCGTAACCGCCCATGCAGATCCACGTCCTTTCTACCGATTGTGACGTCATCAGTTTAAATGGTCAAGGATAATTTTGTCTGCTAACTCATGAAGAGTGAAGAGATCTTTCAAACCATACCAGAATGAGTGCCATTCAGTCAAGGACACCGGGGAAAAAGGCTTCTTTTCCCACTGCCCACCTACCTTTCCTTTCATCTAATTGTAAGATCCTAAAAGTTTTCCTAAAAACTTATCCCACCAAAGGGAAGCCTACTAAATGCCCAGTAAGAGAAAAAAACAAGTGAGGCAAGAAAAACGAAAAAAAGAGGGAAGGAGAGAAAGTGAAAAGAACAAGTCAAGACTGCTGTGTAACTTTTAAACCCAAAAACTATCTCGAAATTTTGCTTTCTGCCAATGCCCGAACTTCGCAAGCTAATATTTTGCATCTAGCTCAGAACGCTGTGAAGTGTACAACCTGTAAACAGCTTTGTTATAGCATGGCAGTGACCAGAAAACCAAAACCGCTCAACTAGCTTTTTGGCAAAGTCTCCAGGGGCAAATGATTTAAATACTTTGGGCAGCAAAAGAGAAAAAAGTAACAAAGTGGATGATGATCAATGTTACCTGTAGTTCATTCATTATTTGGAGTGCAGGTTTAATAGTGAAGTAGGTATTTTCCATACTTACATGTTGAAGATCTTCAATCCTTGTGTTAACTCCAATAGCCATTTCCCGTCTCTCTGCTGCTGTGTCTGGACAGGGGTACAGTGTGGCTCGAAAACTAAGAAACAAATTACCATTACATAGATTTGATTATCTAAATGAATCTGAAGGTTGTTACTACTAAAAGTAATACCACAAAATAATCATCTACGAAACCCCCTAAGGTGGGGGGGGGGGGGGGGGGCCTTTTTTAACAAACCTTTTTGAGGGGGGGGTTAGAGAGAAGGGGGGGGTTTTTTGGGAGAAGGGGCTCTTTAATGTAGAAAAAAAAGAACGGAGGAGGGGCGGGAGGGGGAAGAGAGATGGAGCTAAGTGTCGTCCCTGTCACATCAAAAAAAAAAAAAAAAAAAATAACATATAAAAAATTTTAATATCAAAAAAAAAAGTGATGGTATTTAAAAAAAAAAAAAAAACCAAAAAAAAAACCCCCCACACCCCCCGGGGGGGGGGGGGGGGGGGGGGGGCTCATTCATATCAAGCCTATTTGAGGTGGGGCTTAATAGAGACAGGGGGCTTATTTGAGAGAATGGCCTATTTAACTTAGTAAAAAGGATGGTATCAGTTCTCCATTAAAAACTACAATACAAAGCAGAGAAGCTCAAGAACAAAAAGGTTGGAGGTCATGCAGCTGAGGATCAGAATCAAATCTGAACTTCCAGTTGGTAAATAACCCATACCGGTTATTTCCCCATGAAGTTTTACAGTGGTGATAGATCATACAGTCCCTCATTTAACAGTGAAGAATAATTTGGGTGGGGGGGGGGGGGCTTAATGAAGGATTTACAGTATGAAAGTAAATAATGTTCACAGACTATGTTTTTTAGATATGTCATTTATTGCTAGCTTTGTGTCGCTCTAAAACATTGTGGTATAACTTCATTGAAGTGAATTAATCTTATTTTCTTTAGTTTTTTTTAGCGTTTCCCTAACAGCAGGCAGTCAAAACAATTGACAAGATACATGTACCTTGGACATTATTGTGCTGGCTACTTGTTGATTTTTGTTTAATGACTGGAAGACAGATTATTTATTAGTGATAATGATAATTTTTAGCAGGAGTGTCTGGCTAACTATGCTGTGATCAGACCTTTAATTTCAACTTTGTACACAATGTATCTCACTGCCTACTATTGCTGTGTATTTCACATTCCATTCTAAATATTGAAAAATCATCTACCGCACTGGACTGTTTTTAAGTCAATGAAAAATTCACTTACCCCTCACATATCTTCTTTACTCTGCTCTTAAGCTGATCTCCTTGAAAGAAGATGATGAAGACACATTTATTAACCTGGTCTCCTGTGCTTGGGTCTTCAAGAGGAGTCTCAATCTCGGCTTGTTTAAAGAACACATTCCCACGGCAAGCACGCCATAGAAGACGTTCAAATGTAGGTACTTTCTCACGAGCTATCACCCCAGTCACAAACCTGTGCAGTTTACAAGCAAAATTAGTTACTGCCCTTTAAACTTACAGGGACATACAGACTGTAATACACCCTTTAACTTTTGCTCGAGGGTAACCAGGAAAAACCATATGTTGAGTACCCTGGGTATACATGTAGAACATGGGTCTTTAATGAAAAGAGATCCTGACAGATTCACTTTTTAGTAAGGTATTACTGCATTCAGTTTCTACATTATGACCTGTGAAGTTACTCCGAGTGGCTTAGTCAACATAATTCAGTGAACATTAAGATCAGACGTATCAAGTGGTTTCTTGTAAGAGGTTAAAGACAATAGAAAACATCACCCTAAAAAGTCATTGCTGTCACTTACCCTAGTTGAGTTGCTGTGGCTGTGGCTGATCCTCTTGTTTCTTCTCTCAACAGAGCTTGCATATCATCAGTGCCCTGCGGTTCGTGGATCTGTTGTTGATTATGCACGTGAAGTTCGGCCTAACCAAAGTTACCAACACAACACTGTGTTCTAATACTACCCAATATTCACAGCTAACAAATACATATTCTTATTGTATAAGGCTTATACAATCATAGTGGCTACCATGGTAACTAAATTTTGGCGGGGTTGCCAATTTGGTGAAAATAAATAGATTTTGACACAGAAGTAGCAATCAATAATTAATTAATTTTTTGTTTTCACATGATCTTCACAAAAGTCAAGCTACATCAGAGGAACATGCCTAGAAAATAGTGTCAATTAGCTTTGGCTAGTACAGTAGATCCTGTAGTAAGGTTACAACTAATGGATTCTACCTTTTAATTGCCCTAATAAAACTTGCATGTAAACCACATGCGAGATTGACCCACAAAAGTTATGCTTTTCTGTTAAAATACAGCTACATGTATTTGTATTTTAAAGGTGCTGATGTATGATGAAAGAATGGCCATGTAAAGTGTAAGCAGTTTGACCTTCCATATAATCTGCAAAACGTGAATGCATTTCATACAGTGTAAGTACAGTAGATAGTAGAAAAATAAATGGGGTTTTCAGTGCCAACCTTTTTATAGACAAAAAATTGCTTAATAACTTATTTTTCTGTCCATGAAAAGGTTATCATCACTTAGCAACTGATCTAAGTTAATGGCAAATGAAGTTTACAAAAAAACATACAGATTGAAAGAGCATCACCTCTTCAAAGAAGGTCTGCGTCTTGCGCAAAATGTGTTTGAGTTCTGTCAACTCCAGGAAGCTTTTCATCAGAGCTTCATAGTTAGCATTGCTGTCTTTCATTTCATTCTCAAGCTGTTCAAACTGAGCCTAAAGAATAATAGTTAAATAAGTTAGAAAAAAGGAAATGTTGTTGATGACTGCACATTTTATATCTCATTTATGTCAAGGTTATTAACTAACTCACCTCAAGATCAATCATTTCTCTTGGATGAGGTGCCTCGGGATTTTCTCCAGTATCACTAACATGGATATCAGCCTTTTCAATTTCTTTTTTCAAGAATCCTGCCAAAACACATTGTAAATCATTTCAATTCATGTACTTGAGAAAAACATATAGAGTTCTGAGTAGCGATGCTGATTACTTAAAAAGAGTTGTAAGAATAATACTCGGCTATATTTGTAATGTTATGAGCATGAAACAAACATAATAAAACATTTTGATTCCTTGAGGGAATATGAATGTATGGCATCCTACACCTATATTTATACAAACAACCACATAGCACTCTTAAATTACAGGTCATATGTTTTCGCACAGACGTTTACATCCAACCTAAAAGAGGCCATTACTGAGATGTCTTACGCCTCTGTTTCAAATCGAGGCTAAAAGTGCAAAGCCACTGACATGAAAATGACTTTTTTATTCTCATGCAACTAAAACTTACTTTCACAAGAAGGTTTCACACTTATGGCCTTGTTTTGAAAGTGACAGTTTTGGAACTAGTAATAGCTAATCGGTATTCACTTACTGAGTTTTCTTTCCATTTCTTCACATCGTCTGACTTCGTTGACAAATTTGCGTTGAAAGGCATTCACATCCGGATTAAGCTGACAAGAAAACCATCCGTATAAGAAAGAAAAACAGTGACAACAAACATTTATGGTCAACCATTTCCAAGATGGACATGACTGGAATCTGCATTAAGTGTCTATCTTAGAAAGTTGTCTACCTTACACTGTATCTGTCTATTTTGGGCACACCAACACGATTTAAAAAGTTTCTTCCAATGTCTTTTGTTAGCCATGACAGACAGAAGTTTCTACCTCTTAAGATCGGTATCACTCTCTACTTGGTCAATAAATGCCATTGCTGGGTGAACCCCTGCATCATCTACCGTGTTTTAGTTCCCAAAGAAGTAGTTGGGAAACAATCTCATTCTTGCTTCTCCAACAGTGGCCACTAAACTGCAGCTGGCATATCTGGAGACTTATTGAAAATGGAGGCAGGTCCCAGTGGAGCTCTTTGTAAGATAATAAATTAACAAATCAACAACACTTTTCCATGGTCTGTGTTCTCATTGACCATAGAAATGACGTAAGAATGTTCAAAGATGGTGGACGCCACAAGCCATAGGCGAGAGATATCACTGCAAAGTTTTGAACCCAAGGCTTCTCTTTTATCTGTCATTCTAATCAGACATGCCCCAAAAGAACCATAAACATCTAGATCTAATACATCTATGGAGGGGTATTCCAGTCAAAAATGCAATTAGATTGCAGGGTTTGAGCTAGGATTTGATTACTGGGGGACATTTTGTCCCCTTGGCTAAAATATTGGGGGACATTTTTATTTTTAGGGGGACAGACAAATTAATTTTTAGTCATCATTTTTTTTTTTGCACTCATACAGGCAAGCCAACAAAAACATTTTTTTTTCTTACCTGATCCTTGTAATACAAGAAAAGTGATACAAACAAAAAAAAGTTAAGTTATTGGTGCCAAGACTTTTTTTTTTCTCTTCATATTTAAACAGAGGATCAATGACCATGCTTTACACTTCAAAACACTTCAGAGCAGAATCTTGTCTGAGCATCCCCTTGTAAACTTCAATTCCTTTCTTAATTACTGATAGACGAACAAGTACTAATTCTTCTGTTGGTTCTAGCCCAAACATCAAGGGCTGTAGAAAAGTCAAAGTCCTTGGAAGGTGGGCCCTCAATGTCAATGGCCATGAGGACATCCAGCCTCTCAGCTTTCAGTCTGATTCTCAAAGTATTCTTAATTCTATTCTGTGTGCTAAAACCTCTTTCACAGCCAGCCGTATTAGTAGGCAATAACAAGTGCAACTTGACAAAGCTTAATTAAATTTTGGACTTCATCACTACGATGGGTAGCAAACACGTTTTCGATGTGACAAGTTAAAGATTGCCAGGAGCGTTCACCATGCTTGCTTGAGCATGAGATGTACATGTTCAGTAAAGCGTTACTGAAATGTGACTTTAGAATGAACTTTTTAAACGTGCGATAAAATATACTTTCCACGTATTGTTTAGCTTGCAATTTCTGTACTGAACTAAGTCTTCGTGTTGGCCTCTTTTCAAGTTTTTTCCCTAAATTTTGAAGGGGACAAATTGTCCCCTTGGCCGTTTTTTCAAGGGACAATTTCAATTGCAGTGCGGGATTGGTGCAATGGTGCAGCCTGGCTCAAACCCTGTAGATTGCAACCTTCACTCCATTAGATTGTACCTATATGCAATTAGATTGCAATCATCCTTTTGCTCCAACCCTCATGCCCAGAGATTGTACCTTTATACCATTGGATTATCCCTTTTTGCCATTAGATTGTACCAGTACCTTGTATTTGACTGTACCTCCAAGGGAACAACATTCCATTGGATCGTAATAAAACTGAGTCAGTGGTTAAGCATAGAAATTAAGCCTCAAACTCATGATCATATGAGACATATTACCTTGGGCTACATGAGGGATACTCCAGTTGTTTCTTCCAAAAAACAATGTCCAATGTCAATAGACCTTGTCACGGTTTTCGAAGCCATCATCAAGAGTAGGGAAACATGTGAGAATCTACAGTGTTTGTATCAGAATCTAATGTCGAATAATTTCCGTAAAATGGCTCTTCTGAAAAAAATATGAAATGTAAACTAAAGCTACAAAGCAAAGGATTGCACTAAAAAATTTTGGGGCATACCTGCGCCTTAATTTCTCCAGCAGCTTGCTTAAGATTTTCCATATATTTGTCTGTAATTTTTCCCAGGACTTTCTAACAGACAAATGTATAAAAAATTTTAAAAAGTGGTTCTAGGTCTTCTAGCGCATGTAATGCCCTCAATATTTTTCAGTAGAATCCTTAGAAGTAAAGCTTTAGTTTAAAATTCGCATTTTTTATTTACAGAACAGTCGTTTTACGGAAATTATTCAACATTAGATGCTCATACAAACAATGGAATTTTTCACGCGTTTGCCTACTCGTCAAGATGGTGTCGAAAACCGTGACAAGGTCTATATTGACTTTGCTAGGTACAGAGTAGATTGGCTTTGTTCTGTACTGTTGATGCTTAGAGGAAACTTGCACAGTTAGAATACTCATCCCTGTCGAGAATGGCAAGCAATTGCTGGGCCTCTTGCACTTTTGGCAGAAGACTTTCTTCCAAGTTTTTTCCAAGCCTCGAAAGCACAGAACAAAGTCAATCTACTCTCATGAGTGTTGGAACAAACTAAATTGATACGATCTAATTGCATACGATCTATAATGGGATGAAGATTACGATCCAGTTGCATACAGATACGATCTAATGAAGGAAGGTGGCGAGCTAATTACATAAAGGTACGAAAAAATGAAATGAATATTACGATCTAATTGCATAGATCAGGTACGATGTTGCGATCTAATAATCAATGTTTGATCAATACTTACATCTCGAAATTGCACAAGACCCTACGTGAGAAAAAAAAAAACAAAAACAAAAAAAAGAGGGGATAAGAGGAAATCAGTGTTTAGTCATAAAAGTTAACCGATCAGTTATCAAAATACTGGAAAAGTAGAGAGCAAAAATGATAAATGTTCGATCAAAACAAGATGGCGGAGATTACTACTCTTTCTTACCAATTCTCCGAGTTCGCTAACGCAGGAATATGCCGCCTCAGCTTGAAGAAAGAGCTGGGCTAATGTCATCTCTTCTGATCTAAAAAGGGATGACATCTTGGCGAGAAAGTATAAGTGTATTTAGCTGACAAAAAGCAAGAAATATATGAAAATGGGTTCCTGGCTCACATCACTAATCTCACATGACCATTACATCAGAGCCCACAACTCCTTGCGGTATTGTGTTTTTCCGAAGGTCACCGACCCCTGTCACCGACCGCCGCCGACGGTTTCCGAAGGTATGAACCACAGGTTTCCTACCTGCATCGGATCTTCGCCTCACGTTTTTCTTCAAATCGGCTGTATTTTCTGGCTGCGTTGCCAAATGGCGTCAAAAGCAAAGCCTGCTTTAAAAAATAAGGACCATTTTGTCAACGTTAGAGTCCCAAACTGGCCATATGAAAAGTGGGAATTACCAGAAAGCACAGAGAGTCAGGTTGACTTCGAGAAAAATTCATCTCCAGTGCACAACATTCCAGCTTCCGTTGGCCCGGTATTTCATTCATTTTTGGAAAGTTTTTCTCGCCAACTTGACATTTATAATAATTGCACAAGTACTGAATTATTAACTCAAGTAACGACCATGTTGAATGACAGCTTATGCGAACTTGGAAAGTCTTACAAATGCTTTGAAAAATGTCAACTCATTCAGGCCGGAAGTGTAGCTGAGAAAACGAAAGTAGAAGCTCTAGACGAATTCGACTTTTTAGTTGTTATGGAGTATTTTGCAGACAAAGAATATTTCGAAATTGTGTTACGGCAGGGCTTGATAAGGATATACGTTAAGGACACATCCGTTATCGAGTTTCTACCCATTGAATGTCAGAATCATTCCGGGAGTATCGAGTTTCTTGATGTTACCTTGCGCTCCAAGTTCATGGAACTGTTTATTGAGATATTTGATGAAAGTTTACCATCTGGTTGGAGAAGGGTAACCACTAAGGACACAACACTATGTGGGTCTGGTATAGCCTCAACACTGCATTTGGTGTGTGAGAAATTAAACTTAAACATAGACATTGACTTGTGTCTGTGTTTACCAGTAAGCGCCGATGACTTTGAGGGGGCTCTTTCCATTCCAGAGCAAGTTAATCCACAATTCACTGAGTACGTTAATGCTCAATTATTGTTGTTTGGATACATTAATAATATCATGAAGCAGTCACCCCTAAAGGTGTTTGTAATTCTGGGGAAGGCAGACTTCTCTTTTGAAGCTATTTCTACTCGAATCACCGCTCCATTTCTAGAACTTTCTCACTTTCAATCCTTGCCACCAGAAGATGGTCGTATTAGAGCCTACCGCACTGCAAAATGCATTTTGTCAGCTTTCCTTCCAGAACTAAGCGACATCTTTGGTTGCAAAAGATGTTGCCACAAGCTTGTGAGATCATATCATGTAAAGAATATACTCTTTTTCATGTTAAACAACTACAAGGATGATATCCATTGGGAAGGAGACAAAGTTCCATTGCGAGTTTTAGAAATCTTTTCTGTTTTAGAGCAATGCATGATTGACGATGACGAATCAAGTTATGATGCAGCTGTTTCTAAGTTTTGCTTTCCCGGGACTCTTTACGTGCAGAATGTTTCCAATATAAGTCAATATTATAGTAGTGAAGGTGGACACAGATACTTTTTCACTCCTGACTCTCACAAGCCTATGTATGAACTCAGTTCTTCGCCAGTTTATGAACAACATCTCTCAACTGGCAATGATACAGGTGACACTCTTTTGAATGAATGGTTTGAAAAGCTAAATAACAAGCCCTGGAACTCCAAACAGCTGCTCCATGATTTATTTAACTTGTTGAAAAAACTTAATGAAATAATCCATTAACAGTAGCATTCCAAAATACAACCTTTAGTTGGAATAAAACCTTTCAAAACCTATAACACCTTTTTTCTGATAAACACTACAAGAGTATAAGAGTCATGACTCACTTTGTTTTTGTGTGTGTGGCTTAGCACAATAGCAGAATATTCAGATTAAAATAGATTTTTAAAGCAATAATTCATTTTATTATTATTATATTTAGATAGTTATATGCAGTGCCAGACATCATCTGGCATTCAAACATAAATGACTGTCTTTAAGACTGTTTTTCATTGGTAGCCTGGGTAGCTGGCAAAAGCTCTAAAAATTGTGCTGTGTGTTATGTTTCTTGGTCAGCTGATTGGTCGGATGACTAGGAAAACAATTAACATAGTTACCCCATACCCAACTGCCTCAATATCAGGGGTGAAAAAAGAAAGCTAATAATCCAGAAAGGTCCTATTCTCTAGGTACTCCCTCTCGAGATATTTTTAGTACATTACTTCCTTGGAAATTATAGGTATACCAGTAATTTTTTTTATACTCTTGGGATACTTATGAAGCCCAGTGCAATTGGATGAAACATTGTTGGCCAACAACTCCTAACATTGTTGGATGTTTCATGTTGCGTGCGTCTGCATACCCTGTTGCAGGTTGTTGCGCTTTGCTAGAAGTTGTTGTGCAAGGTTTGAAACTGGTCAAACTTTTGAGCCAACAACTCCAAGCATTTCTTCTGTGATCGCGGAAGCGTAGCGCAACAATGTTGAATCCATTTGCACAGCTCTACTATTGGAGCCATGGATGCACATTACACATGGCCTACAAAGTCTTATGTGTTGTATCCTTCCCACAATTCACTGCAGGTCCCAACAATCCCAACATTCTAGGGCCAACAACATTGGCTGTCGTTTTGTTCATTTGCAGTAGCTTAAAAAAGGGCTTCCTGATACTGTCATATCCCATAACAATAAAAACAAAATTTGCCATTGAATTTGTGACATAAAAAAATGTAAAGATCTGAAAACTTTAACAAATAAATAAAATAATACACTATTAAGACATTTGTATTAAATTTTGGTCTGTTTTGTTACAACAAATACCTTAAGAGGGATTACCTAAGAAAATTGATTCTATATAGGGGATAGCTTTGACCACCCTACCCTTACCAACTTGTAGTTTACCTTCATACTTTCTTAAACACTTTTGGCCTTTTAAGTCCGCTCTCGCCCTCAGAATTTCCAATGACCCCCTATGGGACAGATCCATTCTGGAACCATACAATGTAGCACATGACTGTTATTCTTGTGTAATGTGTGATAGGAGTGTACTGTATGTGGCTGCACACAAACAATGCATGTATGCTACATACAATACATAGCAGCATTCAAATAATGTGATGTCTAGTCAATTGAATAACATGTTTTGGAAGTGCAAAAAGTGTAAGAGTCTGAAACAACAGCAAAACCTTAATATCAGCTTAAAAACAGTTCAATGAAATTGACCCCAGGACAGAGTCCAGACTGTGGAACTCAAACATCTTATTATCCTGTGCTGTCTTGAACTGGAACCTTCAAAAATTTAGCTTAACACAGTGGAAAAAACAAAACAAAACAAAACAAACAAAAAAAAAAAAGATAGATAAATTAAAGATGCATCTCGTACTAGTCTAGACAAAAAAAATCAAAAGACCTCAGTTGTTATATGGCACTTCCTCTCTTCTGCTAGGGGCATCAGTAAAACAGAAAATGCAATTACAACCACAGTGTACAACAGAATTCTCACATTTTAGCTACCTCTTTCATCAGAATCATGATCACCACAGGTAATTTGGCAATGTCTGTCAATGTGCTTAAGTAAATTAGCTGAACGAGCAAAACTTTTGAGACATATCCAACATTGCTGCAGGTCCTTTCGTATTTTCTTTCCTCGGAGGTTATCCTTTTGATCATGTTCCAGAGAACCCTCAACAGGCTCTGTATTACACTGTGGCGATGATGTACAGGTACATTTTGAGGACTTTCTGTGTCTAAGGAGGCAGGATCTGAATTTATAAGACATCTTGCAGTGGCTACATTTAAAAGGCTTCTCCTCCGTATGAGTTGTTTTGTGAGATTTCAATGAAGAAGCTCTTGGAAATCTTGCTTCGCATATATCACACTTGTGCAGGAACCTATCGAGGTGAAGCAGTTTATGTTGTTGCAGCTGAGAGCTTTGCTTAAATTTTTTAGCGCAATGTTCACATTTGTATGGTTTGTTGTTGGAGTGAATTCTTTTATGCAATGCAAGGTGTGTAGATGTGCGGAAGTTTTTGTCACATTCCATACAATGATAAGGCTTTTCTCCTGTGTGCATTCTTCTATGCAGCATGAGATTCCATGCAGTTTTAAAACCATTTCCACAGTGTTCACACTTAAAATGATATTCCTTGCTATGGGTGTGTAAGTGTCGCTCCAGGTTCGATTTTTGATGGAACCTTTTCTCACACTGGTCACACTTGAATGGCTTCTCATCATTTCCACCATGTATTTTTAGATGCCTGTTTAAGTTCCCTGCTTTGTCAAAGGTCTTCTGGCATTTGGTACATTCAAAATACTTCTTCTCGGGGCAAGGATTCTGCATAATAACAACCTGATGAGTTAAAGAAACATATTATTAAGGCCATTAATTTTTTACAAAATCAAGGAGTGTACGTTTGACAAGATATCTGCTAGCCTGAGAAACATACAACAATTTATTTTGACACACCACCACTGGACTCCCCACAAAATGACATCCTAGGGATGAATGCAGAAATTGCATACTGATGAGATGTCACTACCCAAATCTGGGTATTGCTTCTGATTGGTTGAAGCAGGTTTCCCTTGCCGCAGCAGAACCAATCAGAAGTACAGTAGAACCCCAGTAACACAAACCCTAAAGGGAAGCAAAAACAGACATTAAAGTTAGCGGGGGTTCGAGATTTCGCGTTTGATTAAATCTTCTATTTCCCATGTTAATATTGATAGCTTAATAATAATAATACTGTTATTAAGATTAATAGTTACTGATTTTTCAACAATTCAGTATACAGTACAGAGCAAAATAAACTTATCTCATCAGAAATTGTACCATGATTATGCATTTTTTTTTTTGTTATAATACAGGGAAATGATTGTCAAATAAGTGATCTGTTCATTGCTCTTATAAAAAAAACAAATTGTGTGTAGTGTTAGTTTTAGGAATTTTACTGATTGCACGGCAAGGAAAAGCTAATGGGATAGCATTCTTACTGAGTTCCAAGAACCAGAACTCGAGTTATTGAGGTAAATTTTGATCGAGGGAAACTAAATTTAGTTTGAGTTAGCAAGGAATTCAAGTTATCTGAGTTCCAGTGAACTGTGTGAAAGTGACTGAAAAGTAGGGTTAAATCCAAGGAAAATAGGACATAGTTCGGGTTAGTGGGGAGTTTGAGTTATCTGAGTTCTTGACAGCGGGGTCCTCCTGTACTAACCATACCTGAGTAATAATGACATGTCATCAGTGTGTGAAATGCCTGCATTTGTTTCTCAGACATGATCTTGCGGAGAGAAAGTTTCATTTAACTGGATGTAACCGGTCATTTTATTTTTCATGAAACGGAATTCCCCCCTCTCCCACTCACCCGACTCTCTTTACCACCCTCCCAGTTTGCCCTGCGCGCAGGAACATTGATGAGTACTACAAGAGCTGCTTTTAGCACAACAAGCATATATCGATATACCAGTTTTTGGCACACTTTTTCTTTTCACGTTATTTCACAGATTAGTATTCCGCCTACTTTGGAAAAATTAACACAGATGATACTGGAAGACAAAAACAACTTCCCTTCGCGCGCTTTCGCGGGCAATAACTTCGCGAATTCTGCTACAATATAAACTTACTTGAGCCCTTTTAGACGAAAGGGAAGTTATCCTTCACTTCAATCTTGTGACTTGTAGAAGTTATTGGTTATAGGCTCCTATATGCATTAACGGAGTTTACTGTAGACAGCTACTTATTCTTTTTTATCCACGCTAACATTTCGACCATTCGACCATTGATTCTTCCAAGTTCTGGCTCACGATGGAAATAAACCCACGTGACCGGAAATGCCCGGTTGTTTTTGAGTCGGCTCCGGTCCTCTCGCGTTCAGAGCTGTTATGTTTTGACCGTTTCCTGGCGAACACATCAGTTTGCAAGCTGTATGCATATTACATAGATGTGCTTTTTTAGCAAAACAGGTGCATAATCAGACAGTGACAAGGCAAAACCACAAGCCGAAGATACCAAGGTGGGCAGTGAAATATATCGTAAAACTCTACATTCACTGAAATTCAGTTGAAGGATTGTTGAAGATCGGCGATTTCTCGTTGTTGGAGCAAATTTGGAGCCTTGCGTGCGGTTGGCTTCTAATTTTAAAAGATAAGTTTAGATTGAGCTAAGCTTTCTTATTTTTCCTGTCATGGTATAAACGGAAGGCTAGGTTTAATCTTGTATTGATTTGAAGAAGTCGTTGGCATGGAAGCGTTGAGGACATGTGCTTACCAGCTTAGATAATGAAGGTGTAATTTTAAGAAAACGATAAACTGCGAAAAATATTTAAACATCGATCAGCGATGAAGCGAAGAACAAGTATAAAATTGCAACTTTAGCGGACAATGGGACAAGACCTTGCCAAGCAAGTTCAACCGAGGAACAGTGTTCATTCAAATAGCCCTGTAGTCCAAGCCCCACAGCCGAAAGATTTATACAGCAAGAAGGGTCCATTGAACAGATGTAAGTGTGCACGTTTGTCACATTTTTATGTTATTGATATCAAATGTCACCCCTGGGAATCCGCACAAAAATATCATTTGCCTCCGGGAGAAATCTGCAGGCAGGCTAGACGCATTTTTCTTGCTAAAGTCTCCCTTTTTAATCGCAATCAAGTTCTACCATCACCATATACATTTTAAGTTATATTATTGGAAGACCGAAGGCTAAAATGAAGAACCAGTGAGCGATAGCATCCGGACACTACACTTCACTAAGTAAATATAAAGCCATCATTTCACTTCTAGGAGCTAAATACGATTATGACTCTAGGGGTCAGATTTACTCTTTGGCTAGGAACTTAATGATTATTTATAGAGGTCAGATAATGACAAAAATATAATCTCGTGTCTGATCTAAGCCACCTCAGATGACTTACGTGTGCTACAGTCTAGGGTCCACTGGTTGAGACTCTTAAAGCATATAGCTCGCTCTATTTCGCAGATTTCTTGTCAGGGAGAACCGGTACATGCTTACTTATATTATTTTGTTTCTGAAAAGTCAGTCCTCTGAATTTCCAAAAGAAGGCAATTCAATTTTGTCCCTGATAAAGGTTAAGGAAATTACCTTTTTTGATTTGAGTATTAATACAATTAATATTCTTTGAACCTCTTGTCTCTTCAACTAGTTTCAGAAAGTGAAGTTCAAAACATGGTGAATGTTTACCATAAATTAGCAGCCCTCTCTCCCCGGGACAAGTATATTGACAGGAATACTTTGTAAGTTGTATATAATAATATATTTGTTAGATATCTTTATTATATTAAATAGATATTCAAAGCAGTTATACCAGCAGTCAAGGCAGCTGTGTTCTAAAAAAAATTAAGGGAGCCCAGTGCTTTGAACCTGTGAAATCCAGGGTACCTTAAAGCAAATGACTAATCTGTGAAAAAAATTAGGATTTCCCAGTCGCCCAATTAAGAGCCAAACAAAGATAGGCACCCGGGGGACCAGCAGGCGCTGCTAGAGCATGTGGGGCCCTGTCAGTTCATCAAAATAAATGTTATCATTCAAATTAATCAATAATTACAAGTATTAATAATTTATCTGAGTTTTTTACTTTTGTTTATTATTAAGAGCAGCTAACTAAAATTTATCCTTTTAGAAAATTTTAAGTTCAGATGTAGAAGGAATCATTATTTGTTGTGTGTTCAAATTAATTTGAGTAAAACCCTGTTTTGTGCCAAACAGAAAACCTGTAATAGTGCAATGCCCAGGCTGGTTTCAGTTAGGACAGTAAAGAAAAAAAAAAAAAAAAAAAAAAATAAATCAATTTTTTTTTGAAAATCGGGGTTAGCCATTTTGAAATGGGACCATTGCTATTTTTTTTCTATGTTTTTTTGAACCATGGTGGTGTTGAAAGACGAAAAAGAAAGGTGTCGTGTTTTAACTTGTTTCCTTTAATTTTCTATTTAGAATATTTTAAGTTCATATGTAGAAGGAATATTTTTTTGTTGTGTGTTAAAATTAATTTGAGTAAAACCCTGTTTTGTGCAAAACAGAAAACCTGTAATAGTGCAAAGCCCAGGGTGGTTTCAGTTAGGAAAGTAAAAAAAAAAAAAAAAAAAAAAAACATACATCAATTTCTTTATGAAAACTGGGATAAGCCATTTGTACATGGTACAATTACTATTGTTTACCAGGAGTGTTTGGGACCGAGAGGCTTTTTAACTACCGTAAGTAACTGTGCTCTGTCTACAGTTGTGTCCCTAAGGTAAAGGGGCACTTCCTTACATTTTATTTGTCCACCAAAAATGATTTATGGTGGAAGAAGAAAATGTAGGGAAGTATCCCTTTACCTCAAGCGTCTTTATTACACTTACATGTAATGACTCAATTAGTTGCTGTAAGAGTCAGTGGTTTTATGTCATCAAATTTAATTTCACTTTGTTCTGTTGGTGTGAAATTTTTAAAATGAATGAAGGAAAGATAGGGAAAGTGGGTGCAGCTATATAAGCTATCCCTAATGTTGATGGTCTGAGTTTATTGATGAAAAAGAGATGGAGCATTGTATATCCTTTTCAGCTTGCATTACTTTCCATTGGATGGCGTCTTGGCTGGAAGACTGTTTGCAGCATTTGATAAAGACAAAAATGGTCATATCGATTGCGATGAGTTCTTAGGTGAGAAAACCATACATTGTAGTTGTAGTGATTAGCAATTCATCAAAATTAAGTAAAGGACCAAACCCCACTCTTTTGCATATAGGGGGTGTCTCCAAGCCTGGTTTTTACTACAGACAGGTTTAAATTTGCTTTGGATTCCTGTTTCTTTTTCTGAAGACAGTGTAACAGTTACTGTTGATTTTACATGTAACTCAAGTCTGCTGTAACTATTTGAATATCAAAACATGCAATTTTGAGCTAGAATTAATATAATAAATTGATGATATTCCTGCTAATTATGTAAGCTTTCTGATTTTGAATTTAAATTGTAGTTGAAGAGGTCTCGATCTGTGGAATATAAAGGTCCTAAATTAAGTGACTCATGATTTAAGCTAATGAATTCTTCCAGTGATTCATATTAGATGATTTGTTGATATTTGGCATAAATACCATATGGGTGATATTTCAAAATTGTTACACGTAATTTCAGAATTTGAGAAATAATATTTTGAAATGTCACGAGTGGTATTTATGCCAAATATCACGTACAAATCTTGCTATTATTTGTTTATATACCCGCAAAAGGTTTGTGGGTATTTCATATTAAGCTGAAATACCTGCACTACTCTAAGCCAATCAAATAATTGCAGAAATTTCTCATGTAGTAATATAAAGTATTATACAAGGCAAATTTAAAACAGAACCTTGCAGGTCACCATAGAAGTCACTCAAGTCACTTTGCCGGACATTTCTTCATTTTCATACTTAAAGCCTGGTCTATCTTAACCATACTGCGAGCAACCCAGCCAAGGAGTTCTGTTGCTAAAATGTAGTTATGGTGACATTTACTTTTATTAAATGTTTTAAATTTTAAAAAAATATAGGAGGTCTTGCACTGTGTTTGAGAGGTTCAACAGAAGAAAGAGGGCAGATCATCTTTGATATGGTAAATTTAGCAAAGTAGTAAACATGTTAATTGTAATTACTACATGTACCAGGGTGCAAAGAAAATCATTTTTACAGCTCAAGCCGTTCGGGCAACCTGAACCTAGCATTTACGAGCCCAGACTTCATTTCAACTAGCCCCAAAAGCTTTTTGATGAGCAGAATTGATTTCACAGTTCTTCTATTATTCGAATTCCTCAAAACACATCACTTGCCTGTAAATTGCCAGCATTCACAAACTAACCCTGTAGTTCGTAATTTATTTGAATAACTATTAAAATTAAATGGTGGAATCCACGATCAGGAGAGATTTTGTTTTCTGATTGGTTTCCTGAGTAGGCAAGCTGGGTTTCCTACATCAATCCCACACTGAAAGGGTTCTCTTTTTGGCTATGATCCAACCAACCTTTATTGATCAGTTGCTGAATAAATACAAGTTTGGTCAAGATCGCTGGGTATTAGCATAATTCTTTTTTACTTTGTCTGGGTCCATAAAAGCACAAGTAAAATTAAAAGCTTGGTCAAATATACCTATCCATGCATACATCTTGTCCTCAGCCATGATCAATTAATTACACATCTCAGTTAATCTTATTGCTTGATTTCTTGATGACAGCTTATATCCTGCCTTAATTTAATACTAAGTGTGTAAATTTCTGTCATCATTGTTCACAACACTTAAATGTAAAGGATAGACACCAAAATTTTTGTGAGTCAAACTTAAAGACCCCTCAAGAGTGAATTTAATTAAGTTTAGCATCCGAGTGAATAAACAAACAATATTAATTTCACATTTCAATTTATTGTTAATTTGGGTCACAAATGCAAGCTAATTATTGTCCAAATTTTGATACATTTGTTTTGGAGAACTTGGCTCATGAAAAATTTGGTGTCTACTAAAGGCATATTAAATATCTGGCTTTCCTTTTAATTTATAATGTTATTTTTAATTGATTAATGCAAAATGTATAACTTTTTTTCTTTCTTTTTCTCCCTATGTTCATCTCTTGACTATTGCTGCCCTATACAGTTCAACCTTGATGGTAAGACATAGTGACCTGCTTCGTATTAAATAATTGTTAAGTTGAAATCTAATGGATATTTGAGTTCTAAAAATATTCATTAAAGATATTAACCCATTCGCTCCTGGGGATTTTGCCGAAAAACGCGTTTTGAAGCTAGTCGAGTGGTTTTCTGGTCACTGTCGTGCTATAAAGAGCTAAAACTTACCACAAACCGGTTTACAGGTCGTACACTTGGCGGCCTTCTGATCCAGATGCAAAATATCAGCTTGCGAAGTTCGGGCATGCGCAGAAAGCAAAATTTCGACATAGTTTTTGGGTTTAAAAGTGACACAGCAGTCTTGACTTTTACTTTTCGCTTTCTCTCTTCCCTTCTTTTTTCGCTTTTCTTGCCTCATTTTTTTTTTCTCTTGCTGGGCATTTAGTAGGCTTCATTTTGGTGGGAAGAGTTTTTAGGAAAGCTTTTAGGATCTTAGGATTAGGTGAAAGGAAAGGTAGGTGGGTAATGGAACAAGATTTTCATGGAGATTTTCAGGTCCTTGTCACGTGGTTTTTTGCTTCTTTCTCCGGTGTCCTTGACTGAATTGTACTCATTCTGGTATGGTTTGAAAGATCTCTTCACTCTGCACAAGTTAGCGAAGAAAGTTGTCCTTGACCGTTAAAACTGATGACGTCACAAAGGGTAGAAAGGACCTGGATCCGCACGGGCGGTTACGGGCGGTTCAGGGGCGAATGGGTTAATAAGGTTCATTTATTTAGTAAGTTATAGGGTGGTCAGACCTAGCCTATGTTGTAGAGGATGGAATCAGGGAGGGAAACAGCTGCTCCTTTTCTTCCTTCCTATCACTTTTGTTTGCACCTGCCACAAAGGCTTGGCCAGACCGACTTTCATTCTGTTTCAATAAAAAATCCTTCTGTTGATCATGACTATCCAGCCAGATCAGTCTATTTTCAAATGGTATGCTTGGCAGTGGTTGTTTTTAGGGGAAATTTTGAAACAGTCGACTAATATTTTATTGTGAAATATGACAGGTCTGGGTAGTCTCTATCACAGCTGCTGAGGCCTATAGTGAGGCAGGCCAGTTCTCACTTCTGGTGTTTAGCAAAAACGCCATGATAGCGAACTATAGTGGTGTATTTACAAAGAAACAAACACCTAGTTGTAAAGTTTATTTCTATCATCGCTGCATTGAAGTTTGAAGCAGGCCATTGTTCTATAATATTTGATTTCTTTCTTACTGTTGTCAGTTGTTGGTCAGGAATAATTAGTAATTGTCTCCTTTTTAGGCAGTGATGGAGTCAGTATTTCAGAGATATCTGCAATGCTCAAGTCTTTATTGTCAGCTGCTGCAAGGTAACCATAAAGCTCATCTCACAACCCTAGCGCTCACATATAAATACTATAGGATGTTTTAAAGAACCCACACACTATTCGTAAAGAGTAGGGCCCACAGTCCCTGGTATCATGTGGTGGTCCATCTCTCATGGAGGGAGGGACTGTTGAGGGGCCCACAGTAATTGACTTCAAGCACTGTTGCGGTGATCCTGCCAAAATTGGCAACCTACGTGTAAGTAAATAGATAAATAATAATTACGGGTGACAAGAGGAGCCCGCAATCCCAATCCCTAGGTTGTTATTACGCATGCGTCGCATGTATGTAGCCAGCATTGGTTTGGACTTCCACTAAGAAAGAATGGAATGCACAGAAAGCATTTTGATCACACGTTTCAACCTTCTACCCCTGGTAACCTGATCATGCGTGTTTTGACCATCTGTCACTTGAAACCTATGCAAAGCACAGCATTGGAGCTAAAGCGTTTTGACTTTTGACTGTTGTCGTCAGCACTCCGTAACCTTTAATAAAAAATTATTACATAGGCTTTTTGTCCACGGTTAACAACTTTCTGTAAAAAAGAAAACAATTCCTTTTGGAAAAATTATTTCGATAGGAACTGAAAAAACATGCAAAAATTAGGTATCCTTCTATTTTTAGGCTTTTATCTCAGAAGTAGAGACTGCAACGGCCAACGAAAATTAAAGAGATAATTTGTAGGGGTGCCACCCTTGATTTTCCAAAGAAATCCTTGTAAATTTTGAAATTTTCAAACTGGCGTAAAATCTTTTAATTATGTGGCTCAAATTATTTTGTTATGAACAAAATAAACTTTGAGTCCCGTAATGCTTATTAGGGACAGATCTAATATCGTTAATAATAAAACACTCATTTTCATGTGAATGGTTCTGTACTTCGCCTCATTTTGAAAGTTCACTGAAACCCCCTACTCACTCATCTGGATTTTTTTGTATTATTTATTTTAAATTATTTCTTTGTAGAATTGTACATGCCAGGAACAGCCAGTCTCAGGGTAAGTCTTACCTATACTATACTACCAGCTAATACAGTCGAAGCTCTCTCTCCTTGCGACCACTCTCGTAAGCGACCAGCTCTAGTTACAACCACCTTTGAGAAACTCCCTTTGAACTGTGACCTAAACATTGTAATGAAAAGCTCTCGTAAGCCACCGCTCAGAGTCTTATTCATATAAATCAACGCTTTAATTAAACTACACACAGCGCTAATGTTTCGTTGAGACAAAGATCTTGTGCAGGAATTAATTTGTAAAAGTTCAAGGTTATTTCCTTAGCGTCCACTTAGCCTGTATAACAACGACCACTCACAGAACTTTTAAAGAGTTTCTGAAGGTCTTGTAAGCGCGACCACTCTCTATTGTTTTACCATGCGGTCGCTCATTCTCATAAGCGGCCAACTCTAGTTACGACCACTTTTGTCAATTTCCCAGGGGTCGCTTACGAGAACTTCGGCTGTGCATGTACGTCCTTTTAACAGGGTCTCTTATACCTCTTTTTATAATATAAAAGTACCCCATCCACATGGTGTTTTTGGCAAGAAGGGTCATCTGTTTGGCCCGCAATACGTGAGCAACGAAGTTACTGTATGTTGTACTTGAAGTGAATTATAGTTACGATTTGCGCAAGAAACATATGATCTCCCTATAGTCAAACTAATGAGTTAAGAAAGAACATTGATATGAAATCATGGTTAAACAGGGATTTTATCCTTTCCGATTTCAAGACGAAAGGCTTTCTACATTTGGGCTAATCAAACCAAGTGGAGAACACGTCCAAATCAGCACTGGAAATACCTATATTTTGATGTTTCGTTGTATTTTTACTCTACTGGTCCAGGTGCTACTGATTCCGTGAATATGTCAGAAGTAGACTCTGTCGTGGAAAACTTTGTCAAAGATGCCCTCAGTCAGTGTGATCAGAGCACGGTAAGTGAAACTTTCAAACGGGTTCAGTAGTGAAGGTTGTTTTCTCGGAAGAAAGTCTTATATACATGAAAAGCATTCGCAAGGCAACATCAGATTCAATTTTAAAATTCTCATATTAGGAAACTGACCAGAATTCTTGAATGAACTTTATGACATGAATACACTTATGTTCTTTGCAGATACGATAAGAAAAAATATATATATTAAACGAAAAGTAGGGGAAAACTTACTCTAGGCGCCATACGTTCTTTTCTCGCGGCTGACGAAGTCAGGTTGCGAATAAAAACCTCCTGCTCGGAGCATGATCTCACCAGTTTTCATGATCCAAGCCCTTGGACGGAGCCGCCCGGGGTTTGAATTTTATGCGGTCTAACGCTTACCCGTTCGAGCAGAGGCTAAATTTTCGCTGTGTGAGCTGGCGTGCGAGAAGTAGCCTCTACCGACAACCGTTCAATTTTCTATCGTACATGCGCGAAATTCGTCACGCGGTTCGCAAGCTAAATTAATCGTCAGTTGTTCAAAAGGTGGATAGCGCTATCCACCGGATAAATCTCTATCTACTGGATAACACAGTTGGTTTCCCTAATACTTATAAATTTATTGGATAGTGATTTATCCGGTAGATAGCGCTATCCACCTTTTGAACAACTGGGGCCAGGTCTGTCGTCAAATGGCGCGAGTTTCGCGGGAATAAAGAAATTGCGACAATGCTCAAGCAATGCTCTAAACCGGTCGAGAAAAGGAAAAAAACCCTTTTTTTAATTTATTCGTCCAGATTTCGGGACAGATTTGAACGCTTTTCGGCAGAGGCTACTTTTCGCACGATAGCTCACACAGCGAAAATGTAGCCTCAGCTCGCAGGGTATCTCCCGCTCCGATCTGAAGACCGGTACTCACCAGCAGCGCTCATTTACCTTCAGTCATTCAGTTCTGGAAAATGCTTGTCGAAGTTCAAAATTATATTGGAGTTTGAAGCCGCCATTAATAAAGGGATATCTTAAACAACATTTTCAAGCCATTCTTGCATTTTGCTTTCGTTCGAAACTCAAACAAAGTATGGTTGTCCTATGGTTCGTGCAATCCCGCGCAGACTCAGAAGCCTTTTCGAATTTCTTGGTTGAGAGGAAAGGAAGTTCGTGAGTTGTGTTGACGTTAGCTAAAAAGCTACGTGGTAATCAGAATGGCTACCTTTGATGATAACTGGCAGACGGAATGCCCAACCATCAGCGAGAGGACCAAGTTTATTTTTAATAACGAATTGTTAAGTGATGTGAAGTTTGTAGTTCCTGCGTCGCTGAACGAAAGTGAAAGCCGAAAGAGACAGAAGAGCATTCCAGCCCACAAGTTTGTTCTCGCAATTAGCAGCCCTGTGTTCTTTGCCATGTTCTATGGTGAAATGGCAGAGACTGCAGGCACTGTTCAACTGCCTGACTGTGATTATGAGAGCCTGTTAGAGT